ATTTTCTGATGGAAAACCACTGCAGCAAGGCTCTTGAAACCCTCCATCATGAGGCTAAACAAGATGCTAAATAAACAAACACACCACACAATCTAGTTTATGCATCCTGATGTCACTGTGCAGGTAGGGCTGGCTCAGTGATAATAACTATGAAAGCAGGTACAGGCCTTTGAAGTCCTGGAGGAGAGGTTTCACCTAAATACAATTATCCCATTAAATCCACAACATTCCTGTTGGGCAAGGTGGCTCTTTTATCTGCCTTCTCTAATGTTGACATTCTGAAATGACAACTTCTGTGTGCTACGGGATAAAGAGGATTGGAAAAAGTATCAAATGATTTTGCTATTTTTTTGTCTCATTTCTGAAAGGGCAAAAAGAAAACAAAAGTTATGTCTTTAATCAGAGGGCAAAGGCAAGCGTAAAAGGCCTGCTAATGGTGTTTTAGAAGCATGAGGCTCACTTGAAATTAATGAAACATTCATCAGGAAGGAGGGTGACTGGGCAGGGAGCTGGGCCGGGGAGGGACATTAGACCTGGAGAGGCCACACGCAGGAAATAAGGCACCTTCACTGACTATCCAGGGACGTGGGGGAGGGGAGCAATCACAACACAAGAGCTCCCTGGGTGGCAGAACTCTACAGAAGGATCAGAGAGAGAGTGAACAGAGTTTTGTGGTTTTTTTGTATTAATCATACAAAATAATGGGTTTTGCTCTAATATCTTCATACATGTAAATAATGTACTTGGGTAATATTCACACATACCCAATTACTCTGTCTTGCTCCCCCTCCCCAGAGGTACTTCTTAGAGGCAAACTTAGAGCAAATCCGCTGCAAAGATGGGCTAAGATCCCTAGCAAGGATGCCAGCCAGCAGCTCGGCAGACTCCTAACCCCAGTGCAAGAAGATGGGGAGCTCCAGGGAGTGTCACACAAAGCCTTACCACAGTAGGGCATGGCAGCCCACACCTGGCATCCCGGCACTTGGGAGGCAGAGCTAGGAGAATCCAAAGCTCAGGGCCAGCCTAGGCTACCAAAACCCAGAACCCTCACCATGCCTGACAGCTCTGCTTATTCTTCAGGACCCTGACCCTCAAGAAAGCTGAGTCACTCACTACAGAATTACACCTTGGAAGTGAGCCTAGGCCAAGAGTCAGGTAAAGAATAGGCCGCACAGCAAAATGGAAAAACACTGAAGTCAAAACACTGGCGTTAATTTAGTTCTGTTTTGCCATTTACTAGATTATGTGATCCTAGACAAAGCAATCACCTTCTGAGTCTCAGGGCTCACCACTAATCACAGAACGACCTCTCCACTTTACAAAGGCTGAGGTGGGGATAAAACAAGAGATAGCGTGGCAACTTTTAAAACTCTATGCACACAGAAGGCCTTCTTTTACTAATGATTGAAAGGCCACACCCAAGTGTCCAAGTACAGAATTCTTTTGAATATACTAGACTTGTTTAATTATAGATAACTATCTATATAACTATGTGCAACCATATTTCATATGGTTATACATATACATATGTATGTATATTTAAGGGTTCTTGCTTCTAAAAATGCCTTTTAGGCCAGGCACCAGTGGCTTACACTTGTAATCCTAGCTGCTCAGGAGGCAGAGATCAGGGAGAGAATGGTTCAAAGACAGCAAACAGTTTGCAAGACCCTGTCTCAAAAATACCCAACACAAAAAACAGGGCTGGTGGAATGGCTTAAGTGGGAGAGTCACAAGCATGAGGCCCTGAGTTCAAACTCTGGTACTTCCGAAAAAAATAAAGTACCTTTTAGTAACACATAATTTATAATTAAGGAGAAGAAAAAGAAGGATAACTAAGATTGAATCTGTAAGCACAAAAGAGGCAGAGTGGACAAAGGAAGCAGTAAATCAGTTATACTAATTAAATGGCTGCTGTGTCCTTGGACCAGATGCTAACTTTGGTGAGGAAATGACAGCCAGAAGCCAGACACACTCAGGCTGTAAAGCTGGGCAGCCTGGGGCAGACTGTAGTCCAAGATAAGGGCTGCAGAAGGTTGAAGGAAGGAGCATCACTAGTAGGGGGATGAGAGGTGGGGGATGGGAGGTGGGACATGGCGGGAACTAGAGAACACGAGTGCATGGAAGGAAGAGGACAGCCTAAGGGAGAATGGACAGTAGGAGTCTTAAGAGGTGCTTTGGGGTCTGTGCTGGAACAGAAAGCCCTCTGTCCCTGCTGCGGAGCCTGGGGACAGCACACGGCACTGCAAGGCCCCGCAACCTGCAGACCTGGGCAGCTACTGCAGGAGAGTGGCGTCCCGTGGAGAGCAAGTAAAAGGGCAATCCTCAGCTCTCAGAAGCCACACTTCCTCTACCACCCTCCACCCCAATCTTCCTTCCACCTTTTCCAATGCGAGCAACTTCCATCCAGCTCTGACTACACAAGGGACTTGGCTTTGGGGAAAAATAAAATAAAGAGCACAGCTCTCCTAAGAGGCTGAGATGACAGCACACATCAAGTAAGTAATACAGACATGGCTACCAAAGGGAGGAGAGGTAGTAGAGGCTGATTAGGCTGGGAAATGTTTCTTAGACTAGATGATGATGACCAAAGCTTGAAGGAAAATGAAGACAGAACGCTGGAGGAGAGAACAGGAACTCCAGAGAAGTGGGGATCAAGACAAGAAGGCATGACTATGTGGCCACTGTGACAAGTCCTGAGCTAGCAGATTCTGTAGCAGGTTCACAGGTCCAGAGAGGCAATGGGAGACTCAGTACACTCACTGGAGAACCTCGGTGCAAGGCTCGGACTCTCTTGGCCAAGGTCTGTAACTGTGCTCTAAGAATCGGCCTCAAACTTCAGCCCGTGAACATCTTGTAGTAAAATTCTGAATGTTTTTTCACATGTGCATTTTTACGTGGGGAGTGGGTAAGTGGCTTTAATGATTTATGCCCTAGAAACTGTGAAAACCATTAATGTAGGCAATTGGCAGAGTGGTCTGTGTGGGACAGAGAGGGGTTGAGCTTAGGCGAGATGATCCCATTTCCTTCCCTGAAGATCTGCACTAGCTACACTCCACATAGTTCACAGTTCACACACTGACACCTCCCTCCAGTTTCGCATTCACTGGGTCCATAACTGCAAAAACGACTCACCAGAGAACGTCTGTGGCACCTATAATAGGAAGGAAATCAGCAGAAAGGGAAGAGGTGGGGAGAGCAGGAAAAGGAACAGGATGCTAGAAGATCCAAGAAATTAGAATACCATAGAAGCCAAAGAAAAAGAAGCAGGGAAAAATGAAGTGGTTACCAGTGTTAAGTATAAGAGAAAGATTAAGGAGGATGAGGAACGAGCTGGGTTTCTGTAGAGTGATAAAAGGTCAAAAGTGTCCACACCAGTGCACTTGGAGAGCCAAAGGAAGTGCCACTGATGATTGTGGCAGGAGGACAGGAGTAAACCAGGATGGTCCTGGATAAGCATATTAGTTACCTAGTTGAGGAAGTTAGTAGGACAGCCAGGCAAGCGGCAGACACCATCCGATATTGAAGGGTCTGGCTGTGAAAAGGAAAGGCAAGGCATCAGTCCGAAGGAAAAGGGCTAAGAAAAGGCTTCATCAGTTACTTACTGGGATACAGGGAGAACCTGAGGCTCTGAGGAAGGAAAGAAGGGAGTGAGAGCATCACTGCACACAGCAGGCCTTTCCCCCACACAAACCACACACAACCACCACTCTCGTCCCTCAACCTACCTGTCAGGGAAGGATAGATTTTCTTTTCCACGCTTTTAAAAATTATTATATAAAGATCTTTTAATCATTATTTTTATTTCCAGAACCTGAGAAACTTGAAATGCATATTTCTTCGGGTTCAATAATCCTTTATCTTATTGTGTAAAAGCCTCCTTCTGTACCATATATTTTTTACCTTATTTTCTAAATTCACAGTGTGCATTTTCAAATGAGCTTTCACCATGGCCTTTTCTTCAAGGGGGAAAAAAAGATAAGAAAATGAAGTTAACTCCTAGATGCTTGTGAAAGTTAATTCCTTCACAGATTGGAGAACTATAACAAGGGAATATATCATTTTGCCCAGAGCTAGGCGTTTATTTTTTTTAATGTTTTTATACTGGGGAGGTACATTGTGACATTTATATAAGTGCTTACGATATATCTTGGTTAAATTTACCCTGTCCATACTTCTCCTTTATTCCCCCGCCTCCCATTCTTAGAATAGTTTCAACAGGTCTCATTTTCCACTTACATGTATACATAGTATTTCCATCATATTCACCCTCCTACACACTTTCCTTATATCCTTTTCCCTCCCGCTGATACCAATCCCCACACAGGACCTGTTTTACTTTCCTTTGTTATCCTTTTGAAAGACATTTTTAAGGTAGCTAGCGATACAGGGAGTTTTACTACATTTCCATGTATATAAATATTGTATTTCAAATTAGGTCAAGACACAAAGGTTTGACCCTAACGATGTGGAGCACAGGAAACTGAGCCAATGTCAACAAGAGGGTTAACAATAAGAACAGGGATCATCTAGGGACAGTTCTTAAGTCACAATTACATCCAAACTGAGATGGGCACCAGTGGCTCATGCCTGTAATCCCAGCTACTCAGAAGGCAGAGATCAGGAGGATCACAGTTTGACAGGGGAAATAGTTTGGGAGACCCTCTCTCTAAAAAACCCATCACAAAAAAGGACTGATGGAGTGGCTCAAACCTCAGCACCAACAAAGGAATACATCCTTTACTGCGGTAAAGGGAGAGGGCAAGTCTTTACAGAACCTGACAGAAACAGGGCCCTCCAGCCCCAAGGGTGTGGCAGCTGCAAGACCTGGCAGAGCTGTGTGATCAGAGCCAGCAGCACTCAGCATCTGGACATCTACAGACAACGCTTACGGTGTGCAAGGCCCTGGGCTCTGTCCCCAGTACCACAAAAACCAAACCGTAGAGCTCATGGCAGACACTTCAATAACCAAACAGACAGACATTTATTATAAAACTCAGTTTATTTTCCCTTCCTGTGTTTCACATTTTCCCTTTATGTCAGTAAATGAACAATAAAGTGATCAAAAGTCTGCTTGATTAAATGGCATTAACAAGTTCATCGACACACCCCATTGTGGAGTGTAAAGCCAGAGGCAAATTAGGTATCCCTCAAAATTGCACATTTTCCTCCTAGTCTGTTTACATAATTCAAAATATACATACAAAATGACCTTAAAATATTGATTAATAACAATTTCACAGCCTTTGAAGGCATACTGTACAATCTTCTAGAGGTGACGTGCCCCAGGCCACAGAGATGGATTAACATGATTCAACAGCACACCCCACGTGTCTTTGCCTTTCCCCTAACTCTAGTCTTCTGCTGAGGTAATTCCAGGAACCTGGTTGTGCAGAGATCAGTCCTCCAAGAACAGGGCTAATGCAGAGTAGCTTCCCAGAGGCCGTGAACGTTCCCAGACCTCGAATCCGGGGTTGTGAGCTCCACACTAGAATGTTCAAGATAACTGTGTGCCAGTGGTCCTTCAAAGGAAGACTAAATAACTCCAGGAATCGAACTCATTGTGAGTGGAGTCACAGGAGAACAAGCTGACAGTGATTTGAGATGAGACAGTGACCAGGCCAACAAGCACACGGTGTGGTCACCTCTGTTAGTAAAAGTGTCTCTGTCCAGGGCAGGCTTGTAGTTTCTTCCAGCTGGAGCTCTTTATGGGTATCTGACACCTCAAAGGCAATCCACTCTCTGCAAACTCATTACCAAGCAAAATGCCTTCCATTCCTCAGCGACACAGGCTCTGCCTCCTGTTCACTCACCTCTTGAGGCTGGAGAACAAGGGTCCACGGCCAGTACAACACTTAAGGTTAGAGGGATAAACCTCAACAGACCAAACAAGGGTGCTGGCAAGTTTACACGCTGTTCAGTACATTCACAAACAACAAAAATCATCAGTAATTCACGTAGTGTAGAAAATCACCTGGCCTTCGCTGCCGGCCAGTGTCTCAGGGGCTGGCAGTGTTGAAGGAGGCCTGACTAGCTGAGGTTATCTTGGTGCTCTTAAACTACCCCCAAAGGCGAATGAAAGAACTAATAGTCTCACGTATCCCACTGTCCTTTCTTTGTGTAGATATCAGTCACTCAATATGCGAGCTTGTCTCCTTTGCACAAGAGAGAATATTTCTCTCGCTATTAATGGTGAGATAAACAGAATCGTACAACTTGTCTGTGAAGAGAAAAAAGTATTAAAAATGCAACAACAATTTGCTTCTGTTAGAGCATCATGTTTTGAACATAACAATGGATCTGGACATTCATTTTGCTTCATACAAAAGTAGCTCTTAATCTTCAGTCAATTACAAAATGACTTTTGAAAAATATACTTAATGAGACATGTCTTAATCCCAGCTACTCAGGAGGCAGAGGCAGGAGGACTGAGAGTTCAAGAACACCTGGGGCAAAGTTAGCGAGACCCTCTCAAAAACAAAATAAAAACACAAGGGCTGAGGGTGTGGCTCAAGTGGTAGAATGCTTGCTTGTCTCGCACTACAAGACCCTAGGTTCAGTCCCCAGCACTGAGGGAGGGAGGAAGGAAAGAAGAAGAGAGGTAGGCAGGGAGAGAGACAAAGAAAGACAAAGAGGAAAAAAAAGAAAATTACAGTTAATACTATAAAGTACTTAATGTCACATTAGTTGTCAAAAGAACCAGGATACATGAGTGCCGCAGGCAAAGCAGGCTGTTACTGGAGCTCAGATGAACAGGGTCTCTCACACAGACCCAGGTTCTTTTTCACAGTTCCTAGTAGGATCACACCAGCACGTTCAGCAGCCATTCCCTCTGCTTAGAAGATACTCAGGAGGGGACATCTTCCCCTCCTGACTGTGCTCTGTGGCACAGTCTTAGAATCTAGAAGGCAGTCAGGAGACAGCTGCTAGGAGCTGAGTGACTGAGGCTGCCTGCTATTAGGATGGCCCAGATGTAAGAGCAGGACACTGACCACACCCTCAGACTCTCAGCACACCTCTCAGGAGCACTACCACGTGCCTATTCAATAGAAAGCAGCATTTAAAGCCCAAGGCCTTCTTCTGTACCTGCTGCTTCCCAAGAGTACAAAATTCCAGCTGAGATCGTGAAAAGCAGAACTGTCTCCTCCAGGGACATCATCATTTCAGAACCTGCACACAGCACGGTGTTAAGAGCAATGCTGCTTTTTAACACTGAGTTGCTCGGCACCCATGGTAATTTCCTTCAGAATTCCCAAATTATATTGAGCAGATAGACAGGCGCCCAGAAAAGTATACTGATTAATGGTTGGCAATACTTAAGTCTCATGTTTTTCAGGAATTATAAATGGCAGTAATCATTACACTCAGGTCAAGGACAAACCGAGAATGTGTCTTTTCAGCTGGGTGTGATGATACACACCAGTCACCCCTGCTACCTCGGGAAGTATAAGACAGCTGCAGTCGGGGCGGGCCTGGTCAAAACCGGAGATCCTATCTCAAAAATACCTACAACAAGCAGGCACTGATGCCTCCCGCTGTAATCCTAGCTACTTGGGAGGCTGATTAGGAGGATCACATTTTGAAGCCAGCCCAAGTAAACAGTGTTTGAGACCCATCATCTCCAAACCAGAGCCAAATGGACTGGAGGTTGGTTGGTTCAAGCTGTAGAGGACCTGCTTTGCAAGTGCAAAGCCCTGAGTTCAAATCCCAGTCCCATCAAGAAAAAAATAAAAGAATGTGTCTTTTAGACTAATGAAATGTTACTGCTCACAAAAGCATCTTTAAAAATAATCAGCAATTTTACTGATTGGAAGAGATGACTAAAGTAAATGCTTTTAACTAAATTAAGAAAAACTGCTATCAAAAAAATAAAAAAAGCACACACTTACCATGAGAATGAAAAAGTAGAAAACCCACATCCATCCTAGGTTGTCCTGGATCAGAGACACCAAGTACTAAAAGCAAGAAGAGGGAATTAAAATCGAATTTTTTATAAATTAATAAAGTGAGCCAGACGTGGTACTGCACACTTATAATCCCAGCACTCGGGTAGCAGAGGAAGATCATGAGTTTGAGGCCAGGTTGGGTTACATAGCAAGACCCTGTCTCCAAAATAAATTAATTAAAAATATATAAATACGAAATAAAGTGAAGTAGTTAAAAAGTAAATTAAATATGGCTTTTTTAGAAAATAAGAAGGGAGTAAGGGTCTGTTTAACATTTTGACACTTAAAAGCTCTTCTATATACATGTTCCCATTTAAGTTTTAAGTTTTAATTTTGTCTTGCTTCAGCTCCCAAGTGCTGAGATTACAGATATGTACCACCACACCCAGCAACATTTAAGCTTTATTAATAGTTCACTGTGCAAGCTTGCAGAATCCAAATACAAAAACTATATAATAGATCTAAGTTCAAAAGGTTTATTTTTATTCACTTTGCTATTTAGAAAGGAAGAACATCTTCAAGACATTCTACTTGACTACTTCATCTTCCAACAAAAGGCATTATAATTGTTTGTGGAAAGTGTCTTTTCAGCAACCACTCACTTCTCAATTATACTTGCTATACCACCTCAACATTCTAGAACATATTCTTCACTTTCAATCACTAAATAGAGCATTTAACCATTTTCCTTTGGTAATGGGGTTTGAACTCAGGGCCTCACATTTGCTAGGCAAGTGCTCTACCATATGAGCCAGTCTGCCAGTCCTGTTTTCTGTTGGGTATTTTTGAGATAGTGTCTTTTGAACTATTAAACCAGGCTGGCTTCAAACCGAGATCCTCCGGATCTCTGCCTCCCGAGTAGCTAGGATTACAGGTGCCTGGCCCTTTTTTATCAAGGCAACAGCTAACAAAATTTTGCCATTTTATCTATCTCAAGTGTGCACGCCACTGGCATCAGTTATATTCAGTGTTGCACAACCATTACTATCTTCGTCCAAAATTTTAATCCCCAATACAAATTCTGTCCCTATTAAAATAGCAACTCACCACTGCCATCTCCCCCTTGCCCTTGGTAACTTCTGATCTGCTTTCTGAATCTATGAATGTGCCTACTCTAGTAAATGGAATCACGCAACTTTTATCCTTCTGTGTCTGGCTTAGTTCACTTAGGGTAACATTTTCAAGTTTCAGCCCTGTTGTAAGCATGTATCAGGACTTCATTTTTTTTTCCTTTGGTGGTACTGGGGTTTGAACTCAGGGCCTTATGCTTGCTACACAGGTATTCTACCACTTGAGCAACAGCTCCAGCCCTCAGAATTTCATTGCTTTTCATGGCTGAATGGTATTCCTTGAATGGACATACCTCTTTGCTCATCCATTCATCTGTTGCATACTTGGGTTGTTTCTGCCTTTTAGTTACTATGAGTAGTGCTCAATGAGCACTGGCCTGTGACTATGATTCCCAGTTTTCAATTTATTGGGAATAAACCAGGGATGACACTGCAGGGTCATATGGAATTCTACGTTTCAATTTTGTTCTGTTTTGTGAGGAAACATGCCAGTGTTCTCCATAGAAACTGCGATGTTTTCTTTTCCTATGAGCAGTACAGGGTTCTGATTTCTCCACGTCCTTGTGAACACTTGTTACTTCCTGGTTTTACAGCCATCCTCGTTGACATGAAGCCATATCTTACTGTACTTTGGATTTGCATTTCCCTAATGACTAAGGATACTAAGAATCTTCTGTGTGTTATTGGTCATTTGTACGTATTTATCATGAAGATATGTCCCTATGCTTTCTTCTAAAAGTTTTATAATTTTAGCTCTTAAATCAGGTGTTTGATGACTGATGAATGGATTAAGAAAATGTGGTAGCTATACACAATGGAGTTTTATTCAGCCACAAGGAAGAATGAAATTACATTGTTTGCAGGAGAACTTCATATTAAGCAAAGTAAACCAGGCTCAAAAAATCAAAGGTTGCACATTTTCTATCATATATGGAAGCTAGACCTGTAAGTTAAATGTATATATACAAATATGATAGCATATATATGTACACATATGTACATATAGTGAGAGAGATTTAAATTGTATAAGTGAGTCTGCCTGAGGCAACTATGGGAAGTGGAAGAGGGAAAGAAAATGTCAGAGAATGAAAAATATTGAAACAAGCTGGGGGTGGGGGTAGGGGGGAGAAATGACCCAAGCATTGTATGCACATATGAA